GATAAAAAGGAAACTTTGCAACCAATCCTCACATTTACAACCTTCGCAAGTCTGTAAAGCAAAGGAAAGCTGAAGTCAGATTGTAAGCACAGTCACGGTTTCACTTAGTGACCGCTTTGCCTAATGACCAAGGTGCCAGTCCCAATTGTGGTTGCTAAACGAGGACTATCTGTATAATCAAGATGGTGTCTGCCCACTTTTTATGTGTGTCATGGAGTTTCGGTTGCACTGTTGTAGCTCTCACGTTGACTTTTTTGACCCCACCCTGCTGATGTCCCTGGGCAGAACTGTCTTTCACATTTCTTCTCCTTTATGTAGCACTTCCTGTGTACATGAAGAAAACAAACAGCTACCACCAGCCGCTGCTTATCAAGGGCAGAAGGTATGCCCAGAAAGTATTTGCTTCTTGGGAACCCTTGCTTTCAAGCCTGGCAGGAATCTTAACTCTGTAGGCCTTTCTCAACCTTCCCCTTGGAAGTTCTTTACTGATAACGCACCTCCTTTTTCCAGGGACAAGATGGACGTCCCAGACAAAGAAGGGGTTGAGAGTCAAGGGTATTAACAAAAACTCATGGTATGATATTAAAAAGGGAGCTTTTAGGTAGCCTCTTCTGTTAAAATGATTAAACTATTTCACTAGTAGGAGTGGTAGTGTCTGTGGGAGAGCCTGGGTGTCAAAAAAGTCAAGATGGCAGCTACGATTTTGTGGTCAAAGCCCTGCATACACCCCTTTTCTAATGAGAGTTGCATATGCAATGCCCATAAAAGGGGGTGGGGTTTTGTTTGTGTGGTTGTGGCTGCCATCATGCTGACTGGGGAATTCTGGGAGTTGAAGTCCACACATCTTAAAGTTGCTGAGGTTGAGAAGCACTGATCTAGCCTGAAAGTTGTTGACACTTAAAGTTTTCAACGTTCTTGTAAAGCATCCATTTCCTAAGAAACACATTGCCTCTGGATTTTGGATTATAAAAAGTGATACAGACAATTGTAAACTGCTTTGAGACTTCTTTTAATGGGAAGTGATACAGAAATATTTTTTTAATAAATAAAATAAGCAAGTCATGACAGTATAGGAAAGAGACTGACAGATGCACTGGGCTGGCCCAAGACCTTCGATTCCTGCAGTGGGCCATCTATGATATTCATGGCAATATCCTGGCCTGGCTCCAACTCTCAGCCTTATTGGCCTCTCAGTTAAAAAAGAAATTCTTAACATAAATATTAAAGTATTAAAATAGACAAGATACTTTCAGTTCCCACTGAGAAATTTCTTGTTGCAAAATAAACGGAAGCTAACTCCTAAAGACAAACATCAACTTCTAAAACTCTTATTGAATATTCAACATTTGAACAAGGCTCTGGTTTCTCATATACCTCATCTAAGGGCTTCCATCTTCTCCATGATCATTAAGACAAAAAGTCTAGGGCACTGACTTCCCTACACATGCCCTTGCTAAATACCACTGAGCTTAATCGGGCTTAATACCAGGTAAATGCAAATATACCTGCAAGTTTGCAGCGTAATTTTATCTATATTTACATTTTAAAAATACCAACTTTATTCAATATCCACGAGTCTCGGGAAAATTTGGGTAAAATTACAGTCTAAATCCCTCTCTCCATTCTTTCTTTCCTTTGTTCCAGTGGGTGCATAACCACACTGGCCTGCACACTGCACAGTATCTAATATCACATTTCCTACCTCCCAGCAATAATACGATGTACTACTTTGCAAGGCTGATGCAACCTATACTCTACCACAGTGTCAACAAATCATAACGTGAACATAATGTTGGGATTTACTTGTGTGTATAAATCATTTTTTAAAAAAAACACCTTGTTCTATTTTTCTTTTAATTTATCTCCCCAGAAAAAAAGACTTGAGCTAGAAGCAGCATGAACTCCTATCACTGCTGGCATCTATCATTTAGCTGCACTTAAATTCTGGATTTCTCCCTTGTTGTGGACAGTAATAAAGTCTACTGACAGTAAGAGGGAGCCAGCACAGCTGGTAAGAGTTACAGACCCTGGAACTCAACGTTTGGACTCTGATCCCCAGAGTGCACAGAACTGAGACTAGATGCCAGAGACAGAATTTCCTGGATGAAGTTCTATATTCACTTCCTCAGAGTCAATTTGAATCAAATTGAATCAGGCTGACTCAGTTCAGCTGTACCTGTACTAAAGGCAACTCAGGCTGACCCAAATTGATTCCGCAATGTCCAATTTGATCTGACACTTTGAATCCATTTGTCATTTCAATTCAGACATTCAAATGAAAGCAAATCTCTGAATCAGAATATTTATGCCTTGTAGGTGCATTGTATAAATACACATATAATAACTCTCGTTTTGCAAAACAAGTGTCACACAGAGTCAAATCCACAAGCTACTTATGCAAACAAATACTCAGCGAATTTGCCTTTAGCAGTGCCTTTAATCTAAGCTTTAAATAACACACCAATATTTAACAATGATAAAACGGTTGATATTTTATCAGCTGAAAATCACAACTTGATATAAACTTAGAGAAGGAAGGATGACTTCTACAAGTGGATTTCAAAAAGCATTTTAATGAGGATATTTAATTTAGTCTATAGCGCTCTGCAAACATTTTACACTTCAGGAACTGAAGTGCAAAAAACCAGATAGTGGATCCATTGTTTTCAGACAAGAGCAAGCCTCTGGAACAAAAACTCCTGCACTGAAATGCAAAACAAAGACACAGCTGATTCCTGCCAGGTCCCAGCGCCATCAGAAGCATCGATACACAAACTGAACTCTTTCCAAAGGCAAACACTGCGGCTATCTATGCATGCGTACATGAAGCAGCGTATAAACAAATAAGGCAATGTTGGGCATTACAAACCCAAATCTCCAGAGCCATCTATGAGGTACGGTCCAGAACGTCATGATGGCAGCCGTGAGAATGCAACATGCATTAAAAAGCAGGTGGAGCCCTGATCACACTCTCACGGCTGCCAAGGCCTGGAGACACCTCTGCAAACCTCCTTCTTTACATCGAATGTACAGTTCACATCTCAGGCACAGAAAGTTACTAGGACTGTTACATCCTGTTGAAATAAAAGAAGAAACAAGGACTGTAGGGTGAGGATCTCCGCAGTGGGCTGCAAATGTCTATTGCACTTGCCAGGCTGGAAAGGGAAAACAACTCAGAGGGAAACAGCTGGGAAGAGACGCAAGAGGACCCTCCTCGCCAAGAGCTGGAGGGGCTCCGAGGGCGGGCAGCTCTCAGCCCACCCAGCCAGCCCGGACTGAATCTCAGTAGGATAGGCATTTTCAGCTCCATTAAAGTCAATCGAGAATTTTGCTACACTGACATAAGTGTAAGGGGAGGAAGGGGGATCTCCAGGGCTATGCATTTTTTGGTCCTTGGCAAAAAGTGGTCTTCCTGCTACTTTTTAAACAAAAATGTCAGTGGAGTAATTTATTCCATTGACCGAACAGAGGGAAAACTTCTCTCCTGATGAAAATGAGCTGAATGCTCACTCCAACTCCATTTAACAAAACAGTTGATAAGCTTCACCCCCATCCAGGCATTTTCCTGAGGTGCAAGTCGGGGGGGGCACAGTCCCCACTGAACATTGTTGGAGTAGAGGAGAAGGTCGCCTTCTGCCCAGAACTCCTGGAGAACATTATCTGCTGCAGCCCATTCTTCAGCAGTGAAGGATTTTTTCCTTCATTCAACAGAACTGCGGAATGAGAGGAAATATCTTCCTACTGAAAAATCATCACATTTTTTCCTCAGTATGTTTTCCTTCACATTCTCTCAGATTTTTTTTGCTTTTCTTGCTCTGTTGCTCCATAGTTTTCTATTTTTTACTTTCTTTCATTTTTTCCCCATTCACAAGAGAGAGAACACTGAAAGACTAAACGTTGGTGGGACCTTTCCCAATTGCCTGAGACTAGCCACACCATCTACCATGGTCATTTAAAAAAATATCTACAGGTTCTGGAAGTCTGAGGACTTTTGCACAGAACTATTATACAAAAATGTTAGGGAAAAGGGCAAGGATTTAGGTGAATTCTAAGATGGAAATAAAGCTCCCTGGGAAAATCCTTTAGAGGAATGACAAAAGGTAGTTTTTCAAACTCTTTGAAGAGAATTAAGAAAGAGGTTAGGGGAAAGGCATTCACCAGAAACCGGGCAAGAAGCAATACATTCATCCTACTGCAGGATAAATTTAGATGCAAGATTTAATGTTTTATTAAATCAAAGCTTCTGTCGATGCTACGGGTTCTGTATTCTGCCAGCACAGCCCTTTTTCTTTCATGTTCCTTCTGCACATTCAGCTTTGCACAAAGAGAGGGCAGCAGGACACAGGGAAATTAGTTGCACCAGAGAACTTGCATCACAAGAATACATTTCTGAAATGCAAGAATGGGTAATAGAACATGAATCCATGGAACAGAAGACGGCAGAAGTTAGCGGCCTGCTCAGTCTTTTTAGTGCAACGCTGATATTGTGCCCTTTCCCAGCATATTTTAAATAATAGTTGAAGAATTCCAAATCCAGTCCACCTACGCCTCTGGAGCACCTGAGCTGTCCCCCCTAGACTTTATAGGATTTCTCCTTTTCAGCTCAGGGTTTAACCGGTTGCATCTCAAATCAGGTCTCTGTTTCCAAGAACCCATTTCTATGCAGGCACTTAGCCAAATACAGTAACAGCACAAATGTTGACTCAGAAGTAAGTTCTATTGATTTTAATTGTATCTACTCTCAAGTAAGATTGCATCTTAAAAATTAATAAAATTTAATTTCATTTAGAGTTGGGCCCCAAATATATAATAATAAAACTGAACATTTAACCATGCAGCCGGGACAAAAGAGCAAACGTTATGTTCAAAAACACCAGCTCTGCCAAGAAATCCCAGCCAACTCAGTGGCACTCAATTAGTGAACTCCAGCTCAGTCAATTGGTCGCTGTTTATTGCCAGAGACGACAGGAAAAAAACCCGCCATACATAAAATCTCTTACCTTTGAGAGATGCTACTTGTGACAAGGCTTGGGCGTACGTCGCTGTATTGAGGAGGGTCCCTGGTAGACAGGAAGGGAAGAAGGAGCCAGAAGGACCAACTGCTCTGCTGAGGCTGTAGGAAAGGGGGCCGGGGTGGGGGGGAGATTACAAGCAAGCAATTCAGGAATGGATGGTAGTTCACTTGATCTCTGCATTATCCATCCAGCCTCAGAAATATCAAGAGCCTGAGAAGGTGGTGGCCTGCCTGTTGATGGACATTGACTGCTACGCTTATTGAATACCTGTTCTAAGGCAGCAACCTGCTGGTTTGTTTGTGTTGCAATCTCATTCCAGGTGCTGGTATTGACCTTTAAACTCTAAATGGCCTAGAACCAGAGTGCCAAGGGCACTCTCTCCATTAGATTGCCCCTCGGGCTTTACAGTCAACAATTAAGCTCTTTCCCGGGTCCCATTACTTCAGACGCTCAGGTCTTCTTCAAGAGGACGTTCACGCAAGCCTCTTTCAAAGCCAAATGGCAACTTACCGATTCCATTAAGCTTTTGGAAGACGATTTGCTAATTCCTCTTACTTAGATTGTCTGTTGCTACTAACCTAGTGCTTAGTTTTCAGCCTATTTATATATTTTCAGGGGGATGTACTCAGAAGTTCGTGCTTTCTCGGCAGTATGGGATATGGAATAATGGATTTAACTTACAGGATGGCAGATTCCATCCTGAAATATCCTGAAGAGCATTTGATTGTAGCACCAATGATCTAGAGAGGTGGTGGGTTCCCTTTCACTGAATGAGTTTGAGAAGATGCTGGTCAGCATCTGTCTGGGACATTTTAATCTGGATTCTGCACTGAGCAAGGGGTTGGATCCAATAGCCTAAATGGCCTCACACAACTTCAGGATCACTCTAAAATTAACAAATATTGAAAAACTAAAAACAGCTTATAAATATGGAGCTTATCCTGACTCTGAACTTTAATCCACACTTCCCATCTCTTTTATATTGTCCCACCTATAGACTCATTAACTCTTTTATACTGCACCATCTTCACCAAGCTTCCAAGGAGGAACCTACACCCCACCAAAACTGACGGGGCAAGCTACTGCATATAAACAGGCAGCAAACCCTACATTCACTTGTGCTGATATTACCTAGTTTGTTTTATTTTATTTATTTATTCAGTTTATATAGCTGCCCATCTCAGACCAGTGACTCTGGGTGGCTAACAAGAGTTGGGTAACAAAACATCTGCAAGCAAATTACCAAGCTCAGAGAGTATCAAGAACTCCACTGCATCATCTTCACCTGGAATGTGTGGACTGCAAACTAGACAAGAGATGGTGGTCGCGTTTATACTAGAAGGGTAAGATGTGCATTTTTATATTAATTCATTAAAATGTCCATCCACTCTTTCACTTATTTTGTCTGATTCCTCAGGGGATGTCAGGCCTAGCCCAAGGAACTCCAGGAGACCATGTAGATTCAGTTCAGCAAT